AATCTAGAGAGAGAGAGAGAGAGAAAGGAGACTAGAAAAAATACACCAGAATATTAGCAATAGTTGTCTTTGAGTTGATATGAGAATTTTTTTATCTTCCTTCTATTTTCTGCAGTGTCCAAAATTCCCATAATGACCGTGTGCTCTTTATAATGGAAAAATAACACTTTAAAAAATAGACAAATTCTATTTTGAATAGTGCTTATAAAAATGATAATGAGCACAATGTGATGAAGTGCTGTTCTTGGCCTTGTCTGCGGGGCAAGTTCATGGAAGCCTCATCAACGTCCAGAGATGCATACTTTTATTGTGGTCCAATAACCTTTCTTGTTTGCATTTAATTAATATGCCTTTACTTTTGTATTTTTAGTTTTTCTGTAGATGCTTCTATTGCACTTGGGAGTCTCTAATAAGCACATATAATACTTGAAACAATTAAGACAAGTTCATACAGGAAAAAAAGGAAGAGAAGCAGTGAGACCACCCTTCTTCATGTTCACTCTTTTTTCTAACACAGGTTCTGCACGCTTTTTTTTCCTACCATGGCATAACAAATGTTTTCTGGGTTATTACTTTTTTCATACCTGTCCGATATTTCAATTAGGTAAGTATACCTTAATTTAGCTGGTCAAAATTTAGATTTTTATGCTTTCAACATTTTAAACAAGAATGAATACAAAGCTTTTCGTTTAGAATGCTATCCTTAGCCTGGTTTCCAGAAGTCAGAGCCATGGCATTAGAGTCTTAGCACACAGGGCTCCAAGGACTTCAGCATGTGTGCACTGGACTCCCAGAGGACAGGGGGCGTCAGCCACACCCCTGCTGTCTTGGACTCATATTCCACAGCCTCTGCCAGGGGAGCAAGCAGGAGAGACCCCTAATCCAACTCCAAGGCTCAGGGTCCCCCAGCACCCAGGACAGGTCACCCAGCAACATAGAGGACAACAGATGACCACAGGGAGCTCAGAGGTTCCAAGGGCAGAAATGGGGTGGAGGGACTGGGGCCTCAAGAGGGGCAGGAACAGGGCAGTTTTGATAGGGAGCCACTGCAGTTTAGGAGGGATAGTGTCTGCTGAGGTTTCTGTTTAAAAGCATGGGGTTAAAAGTGCCAGTGGCTTCACAGATGCGGGTTGAGGCAGGAAGCCTGGAGGAGGCTTTTGATGCACGGAGGTATATAGGCGGACATCAAGGTGGTTTGATCCAGGCAGAGGTGGGGGGATGAAGGGGCAGACTTAGGGGTGACAGGGTGGAGGTGAAGGCGGCTGCAATGGGGTCTCTAGGGCAACTCTAGTTCAGGTGCCCGAGAAAAAGTGTAAAACCCAGAACACAGTTAAACAAGAGCAGGTGGGGAGATGTTTATGTGAGTTCTAAGTGTCCACGGCCCCTCCTGAGCTGTCTGGGCCCTCTGCACCTCAGTGCTCTCATTAGGGTCATTGCATTTACAGTACTCTGCAAAGCCCCAGCCCACTGACCAGCTGAAGGAGTGGCTTCCAGTGTCAGCTGGGATTGGTGAGTTAATGTGTAGCACACGACTGAGCCAAGTGGTCTGCTCAGAGGCAGAATGTTGGAGCTCTGTCCAGGGAAGGCATTGAGTCCAAGGGAAGAAGCCAGTGAGAGAGAACCCAGGATGCAGCCAGGGATGAGGTCTACAGCACAGCTGAACTAGAAGGAAACCCTGAGATTCAAGGAGCAGCTGGAAAGGGGAAGAAAGGCAGGTGCAGGAAAGGAGGTCAAAGAGATGGAAGAAAGATGGGCAGGTATGGGAAGGGTCCTGCTAAGAGGGAGCCGTTCCAGATAAAGGACACCCAAACATGGCCGGGCTGGAGGGAAAGGTTAATGCTACAGAAAAATGGGGAGATGATTTGGAGGAACTGAGGTGGAGGTGTGGGTGGGCATGTGGTGCCTTTCCTGAGATGAATGAGGACAGTGAGGACAGGTGGGCAGTGAGGACAAGAGGGCAGTGAGGACAGGAGGGCAGTGAGGACAGGAGGGCAGGAGGACAGGAGGACAGGAGGGCAGGAGGACAGTGAGGACAGTGAAGACAGAAAGGCAGTGAGGACAGGAGGACAGGGCATGGAGAATTCCCACCTGAGTGAAGGAAGAGCAGAGTGCAGGTGGGTTGGGGGGGGGTCCTTTTGGTGATGCACCCAGAGGATCTGTGGGTCATGCTTCCGTGCCCAGGTACATTAGGGTGCAAGTTTCAAACATATACAGCTAGGGCTCTCTGCCTCTTCACAACTTAGTGGAAAAGTCTCCTCACAGACATTCTACTTGGACTCTCGACAGTCGAGCTGGAACGTTCCCGTGTCCTGGTTTGTAAGCTGCGTGTCCACTGCGCAGCTAGTCCCTGCTCTGTTGGTGGGGCTGTCTACATACCAAAGGTCCGGACCATTTATTAACTCTTATTTTGAGTAGAGGCATGTGATTTTTTTAAGTCTGTTTATTTATTTACTTATTTATTTATTTATAGCACGCGAGTGGGGAGAGAGAGAATCACAAGCAGGCTCTGCATCGTCAGCACAGAGCCCCATGCAGGGCTCAAACTCATGACCGTGAGATCATGACCTGAGCCAAAATCGAGTCAGATGCTCAACCAGCTGAGCCATCCGGGCATCCCCACAGCATGTGGTTTTCATAGACACTAGTTTTAAATTTATATGCAGTGAATCTGTCTAACCCTCCCATCACTCACTCTCATTTCATAACTTGTGCTGTAATCTTCCTAGTGTTGGTTGCACTGGTCTGGCTCTGGGGGAAGGACCCAGACCCACCCTCATGAAGGCCCTGCCTGTCACACTGACCTCAGCACCCAAGATCTGGGGCTCACCTGGGGACCGGGGACAGGAAACCCATTCTCCGGCAGATAGTATCTACAACCAGCTAGAGGCCTAGTGACAAATAGCCACATTTCTTCTTCTGGATTTCTGTGAAAAATTTTTTCAACACCAATTTTAAGATTGAAACAGACTGACCCCCTGCTCTCCCTCTCACACACTCACAAGCGTGCATATACACCCATGGGCACACGCACACACACACACATGCACACACACTGATCTGAGCTATACCAGCTCCTCCAGGTGACCACCCCCAGCCTGGAGATCTGGTGTGGACAGAGGAACACACAGGTGTGACCAGTGCCCCCTCTCTTTCTCTGGGCCCAGCTTCCTCCCTGGCCAATCAAGCACATTTGGGGAGAATCCCTAAGGAAGGTCCACGGCATGATTTTGGAGAGTACTTCTCACGGCTCCATCAACCTGGAGTCTCGGTCCCCACTGCCAGGGGCAGCTCCCAGTCCCTTATCTGTGCCACCGTTCCCCAGAAACAGCCAGTGTCACACCAAGCAGAGAGTTTATTGAGGCGCTAGACTGCGGGGAGTGTGTGCAGCGGCGAAGCGGACGCTGGTGCGACCAGGGCCAGGGCGGGCGCCCTCCTCCTAGCGTCTGGGGGCTTGGGGTAAGCATCCAGAGCTACTCCTAATCTCCCCCAAGCCCCTTCCGGGGAACCCCTCCCTGCTTCCCCCTGAGCTCCACGGAGGGCAGTATGGGGGTCCCTCTCTTTGTCCCTGTGGTCAAGGATGGGATAATCCCTTGAGATTCGCTATAAAAATTAAAATTCCTTTATAAATCACAGGGGAGGGGCAGGAGGGGATCACCTGGGAGCTTGGTGCCACTGGCCACCTAGAGCCTCTCCTTCCTCTACAACCCTCCCAGTTCTGACCCCAAGTAAAGAGCAGAGGGTGAGAGTTTGCAGGCACAGAGAGGGGCAGAGACAGAAACAAGGAGATAGGAGGAGGTCAAGGGGCAGATGAGGGCGACACAGAGAGAAAGAACGGATCGGAGGGAAAGTGGAGAGGTGCGGACTCCTCTCTCCCGAAGCCCCTGGGGAGCACGGAGGAAACCCCTGGACGTCAGTTCCCACGTGCCCCCAATCCAGTTCTTGCCAAAGCCGCAGTGGCTTCTTGAGACACGCCCAGCCCCAGCTGCACCTGCAGCAGGAGACCGGTGGCGGCTACTCCAGGTAGATGTCCTCTGTGGGGCAGGCGTACTCCAGGTGCTCCTGGTAGTACTCCAGGAAGGCGCGGCTGGGGGAGAGAGCGTCATCTACCAGCCGCTCGGGGCCACCTGAGTCACCCGCACCCCCACGCCCCAAGTTCTCCCTCCTCGCCCAGCTGGGCCTGCCCATGTCACCCCTGGCCCCCATTCCTCAGCTCTCCAGGCCCGTGGGGCAACATGCCTCTTCCACCCCCAACACCCTCCCCCTAGGCTCCTGCCCCACGTCTGCGAACTTGCTTTCCACCAACTTCTTCCAACTCTCCAGCTCTATGGCTCCTCATCTGGCCTTCCCCTCACTCCTGTACAAACTCCCCACCCCATGCCAGGCCTTCCCCACAAACCTCGCCTCCCTGCCTGTCCTCCCAGCCCTACTCTCCCCACCCCCCGCCGGGCACTCACGCACCAGTTCTGCGTCCCACACGCCCCCCAGCCAACCCTCCCCACCCCAGCTCACCCCACACTCTGGGCCACGGGCCTCATGGACTCCTGGGACACAAAGACGTGGCAGGCAAAACGGCTCAGCAGAGGGTGTTTGGTGATGAAGCCGAAATAGCTGAGGGGGAGTTGGTGCAGAAGAACGTGAGAGCACACACACCTCAGGCCCCCCTTAAGATCTGGAGAGGAGTCGGGGACAGAGGGCTCCGGAGGAGAGTAAGGGGAGGGGACAGTGTGTGGGTCACAGGACTTCAAGATTTCAAGGTGACTTTTTGGGTTCTAGTGCAAGCACAGTGCTCGGCACCTAAGAGGAGTGAGTGGCCTGTGCTACCTTCTCCACGACAGGGGTGCCCCGCCAGGGCCACCCGCCTCCGTGGCTCCCCACCCAGAGCACACAGCAGGGCCTCCTTCCTGCCCTCTAGATGTGAGTCACGTGAGCCTGCACAGTCCCATCTCTGGTCCTGCAAACCCTTGCAGCTCTTATCTGAGCTCTGATTCGGGGCATGGCGTTGGCCCTCAACCTGCAAAACCCTCCTCGTGGAGAGGCACCTCCCACTCTGGTTCTGTCACAACCTTTCAGTCACCGCCCCAACTCTTCCCTGAATCTGCCCTGTTCTCTTCACGAAGACATTAACGAAAGTTACTGTCCAGAGGGAGAGCCTGTCAGAGCCCCGCGGCGTGAGTCTGGAGTCTCCCCCACTGTGGCCCATCCAACCCACATCACACTGGATTGGGCTGCTGTGGTTCTGCCACATGGGAATCCACATGACAGTGTCACGGCCAAAACAACATGCTCATGCTGTCGGTGAAGAGCCGCACCTCAAACGCCGCGTTCAGTCACATTTATCGTCACCGACGCTTCGATGGGGCTACCGAGTCCTGGGCACCACCCTCAGCCCTTCCTGTTCTCACCTCACATAAACTTCACGACAGCTCCGTGAGGTCAGTGTCCTGTTCTACTGTCTCTAGATGATGGAAATGAGGCGCCGAGGCAGTCACAAACCTGCCCAAGGACGCACGGCCAGTCTGTGGCAGCGCAGGAGTACTTGTGGCAATCTGTGACCTAACAAGCCACGTACTCCAGTTTCATCCGGCACATTCCGGACCCGCTGCCTCCTTCACAAGGAAATGAGCTACCCCTTCGCCTGACGCTATTTGCTCAGCGCCTCCTTACCATGAAGGACTGCACCGAGTTCTGGAGTAATACGTATTAGGAAGGTCTGGGCCAGGAGAGCAGCTCCTGTGTCCCCTCCCCTCCACCCACCACCTCCACTGCTTGAATCCTAAACCACTGGTCTGACCATCCTTCTCTCACGGGCTTGCACTTGGGTCGTGTTTAGGTGTCTAGACCTGAGCTTGTGGCGCATGCAGTCTCCCTCCCGGTAGTGCCACCCTCAGCCCGCCGCCCGTGCAGGTGTGGCCTCCGTGCAGACCAGTCCTGTGGTGCCCGAGCGCCCTGCTGTTTGGTCTGAGCCCTGACACTCTATCCAGCTCTGCATCCTGACAAGCCAGCTGGTCAACCCAACTGAGTCACATTCAGTGACACCACTGCCACTGGGATGAAATGCAAGCTCTTTGACAGAGTCAAAGGGCACCGGTACTCCTAGTGTCCCTCCAGCCTCATTCCAGCTGTTCCCCAAGACACCTAGTGCCCTCCACCCACAGCCTTGGCTCAACCGGCTCCCTACCAAGACCTGCCCCGTTACTTACTTGTCTTCCAAGGCTCACAGAATGCTTTCCAGTCCCCACCTGCGTCCCAAGAGAACTCACCCACCTCTCTACAGGTCTGCTCACTGGAGCCCCATAGCGACATCTGCCAGGCCCCGATAGATGCTTCTAGCGCTTACTTGTCTAGGTGTCTGTTTCCCCACCCGGACCAGATGGGAGCTTGTTTTAGCCATGTCTCCTGAGCCCAGTGCAGAGCGGGCGCCATGTAAGGGCTCAACTCACAGAGCCACGTGGCTGCAGGCGGGGCAGTCAGGGCGGTGGAGGACGGGACTCACAGAGGGGCGGCCCTTGGGTTTTATGGGGACTCTGAGGAAGAGAAGGCTCTCACCAGCTGTTGCGGGGATGGCAGCCACAGAAGGAGATGTTCTTCATCTGGAAGAAGTGGCTGCAATGCTGGAACTAGAGCAGAGGCGGCAGGCGTCTGCCAAGTTAGACGGAGGGCCTGGAGCCACTCCTGGCACCCCTGCCACCCTCCCTCCGTCGGACCCTCTTGCCTTAGCCCGTCCCCAGCCTCCCCTGTGCCTCAGACCCCTACACCCCCACCTCAGGTCCTCCGCTTAGACTCAGCTTGACCCCCCGAAGGGAAATCTCAAGGTCACAGGAGGCAGGAGGACGCAGGTGGACCGTCAGCTTCCGGGCAGTAGCAATCTGGGGAAGAAGTTAGGGAGAGAGGGTCTCAAGGGCCTACAAGGGTCTCCCCTTGGTGCAACATTTGCATTATGGATGAACGCTCTTGGCACTGACTCTCGAACGTGTGAGCCAGGGGTCTTGGCCATTCCTTAGGCTCAGGACCACCTGGTCACCTCTCTGCACAAAGCCTGCCATTTCCTTCTGTTCCTCCAGCTCCCACCACCCCCGGCCTCCTCGCTGCCCACCCCACGAGCTGGATGGGAGTTCTCAGGCACAGGGCCGTCCTGCTCTTCGGCTGCTTTTCTACTCAGTCACAGGACCAGTAGAGGGCAGGTGCTCATTAAATGTTGACTAAGAACAAATGAGGGAGCAAATGACGGAGTGAGAGTTGGTCTTGATTTGCGGACAAAAAGAAGACGGACTGCAGAAAAGTAGAGGTCCCACTGAACCCGCCAAGAGACCCCAAGGTGCTGGGAGGCAGCTGCCAAGCTCTGCCCTCTGACCAGGCCTCTGAATCAGAGCTGGGATCCCTGCCCCCTGAGGCTCCCAAGGCCCCACCTGAACCCTCTGTGGTCAGAGGCCTGGGGCCTCCAGAGGCTGTGCAAGCCTACAGGACTGAGGTGGACCCCTGCCTCCAGACTGACCTTCTGCATGGCCGCACACAGGATGCCATTGCCCTGGTGACAGGGCACCTCTACAGAGCCCAGGAACTGCACGTCGAAGCGCTCCACCCAGCAGGGACTCCGCTTGCTCCCTGGAGGGGTGGGGAGGGGAGGGGAGTATCATAAGGGGTCTAGCTCAGACCAGTGGCGGGGGGGG